TTGTTGCTTGAATTGTTTTACATTTTGGCATGTCGGGGCATTTTATAGCTGACTATACGTTATGGGATTGTTGAAGGCCGTATGGTAACATATATATTTTCGACATAACATAGAAGATCATAGCTTTGCATTTATTGTAAAAGTTGATTGACAGATCGTAAATATAAAATTGATCAACATAAGTTTCAGTCAGACTGGTTGATAACTAAAGGTGCTAGAGCGATTACTATCCGGTTGTACTGTTGTACCTGTCGTTCGTTATTTTTTGTTGTCTTATTTTCCCCAAAACCTTTTTCTTATGTACCTACCCAAAGTCAAAAGCATGCTTTTTGAAAGAAACATCTGTAATTACTCATTTCATAAGTAAAACCAAATCAGCCCAATATCCCAAAGGTTGGCTGAAAAGCTAGCAAAAAGCTCATTGTCGTGAAAACTAAAAAAAAGTATAATACCGTTCTCAGTGCGCATGACAAGCGAAACTCCTGGGAATAGCTTCTGTCAGTCACGTTCGAGACCGAAAGTTTCGTAAGCCCTACACACACATATATATATATATATAAAGTTTGTATGAATGTAAAAAACAAAATGTCTAAAACAGAACTCAAAAAGCAGTAAAGTCGATAAGGTCTTTTAGTAATGATTATAACAAGTATGTAGAATATCCAGAACTGTTTATACATGTATGACGGAGATTAACAGGAAACTGATGTTTCACATTTCTTTGTACAAGGGCCATGGTTAGGCCCAAAGATGATCAACTCAAATGAAAAAAATAAACATTTAGTCAGTAATCCTCCTCTAAAAGTAGTAAAGAGAAAAAATAAACTCAGTACTTCCAGAGAACCACAAATTTAAACTAAGATGTATTCTGAACACCCAAATTATATTTAGAATTACGTCTGTTGACATGTTGATTTCTTTACGACATCCTCGTTTATTGTTTAGACAAGACTTCCTTCGGATTAATGTCACCTGACAAGGAAAACAAGTTTCCCCGCTTGTTGTCAGTTCTCTCAAAAAGGCAAAAAAGGGGGGCACTTCAATCCTATTTCATGAATGACTAAATTTGAAAAAATATCTGATGCATTTATCACAGGTTTTAATCACATCTGTGGAAAAAAGGTCGCTATCTGATAAGTTTCAGATACATATAATGTATTCTGCAACCTTTTCAAATATTTCATCTTAATTTTACTACCTTATCGTATACATGTTGTACCATGAAGCTTGAAATAGTGACCCATTTCAGCGGCTCATCCCTACGAGTCATTTAATAGTAAGTGCCCCCCTCCACCAATCAATGAAAGATATGACAGCTGAGTGTAACTTTTTTATTTACAATTTCATGGCGAGTCTATCTACCGGGGAGTAGAGATGTCATATTCACTTGCATATAAAGGGCTTGTAAAGTGCAATCTACTTTGAACCAGGTGATTTATGAATTTGAACTAGCGGGGGAAAACAACTCCCACCAAAAAAGATTTTTAAATCATATGGGTTTCATGGCTGAACATTGTTATATCGGATTAACTGAAAGCAGTTTTTCAAAACAACATGAATATACAGTATAAGGGTCCTTCATTTCTTTATTTTGAGGCCGTTTTCCCTATTCTTTATGTTTGTTGCCTATTATTCTCTTTTCTTTATTTTTTGGTCTTTATTATTCTTTTATTTATTTTTGTCCCTTCATTCTGTCTTTTTGCTCATTATTCTCTATTTGCTGTAAACCCTATCCAGACCGTCTTGTATATGACGTCAGATATAATTAAACTATTATACTAGTATATAACACTCTTGGTGTAAACTTGTGGTAATTATACACATGACCATCCGAGAAAGTAATTATGGCAGTATTTGTGTTGAGAGCGTGGTTCTACTAATAAGACATAGTATCATAACTTGTTCATACATACATACGTTTAAAATAAACACTTAACCTAGCCGTAGGATTAGCACTGGACGAATTAATCTCCCAAAGCTTAACATTTTTTTAACAGTCCATTTTACAAGTTATAGAGATAAAGGCCCGTAATATATTGACAACATATTTGTTACGTATGGAGGACGTGTTTTTTTAATAAACAATAGGAAGTCCTATGGGAACCAACTGTGCTCCTCTTCTTGTCGAATTATTCATATGAAGCAGACTACATACAGGAGTTTCTCGGGAAGAATGAAAAGAATCTAGCATTTTCCTATACCTTCACGTTCCGCTATAAAGATCATGCACTCTCTCCAAAAAAATCAAAATTTGGTGACTATGTTTGACGCATCTATCCCATCGAAGTTGAACACACAGATACAGTTAAGTCTGTCTCATAACTTGACTTGCATCTAGAAATTGATTTATATTTATAAGTTGATATTGGCTTTGAACTAGCTGTGAGATCTCTTAGATTGGTACCTTGTGTCTTTTGTCTTTATATTATTTGTTTTGTGCCGTTCGCGCAGGTCTGACGACGCAAGGTATGTTCAACTGATTTTACAGTTTGTTCTTATGTTGTGCTGTTACACTATTATCCAAGGTTATGGTAAAGGATGGAGCACTCATAAACATGTTTAACCCTGCCATATTCTGTATGTGACTTTCCCAAGAAAGGAACCTGTAATTCAGTAGTTGGTTGCTGTCTGTTATATCTAATTTTCGTTTATTGTACCGTCATAAATCAGGCCGTAGGTTTTTGTTGCTTGAATTGTTTTACATTTTGGCATGTCGGGGCATTTTATAGCTGACTATACGTTATGGGATTGTTGAAGGCCGTATGGTAACATATATATTTTCGACATAACATAGAAGATCATAGCTTTGCATTTATGTAAAAGTTGATTGACAGATCGTAAATATAAAATTGATCAACATAAGTTTCAGTCAGACTGGTTGATAACTAAAGGTGCTAGAGCGATTACTATCCGGTTGTACTGTTGTACCTGTCGTTCGTTATTTTTTGTTGTCTTATTTTCCCCAAAACCTTTTTCTTATGTACCTACCCAAAGTCAAAAGCATGCTTTTTGAAAGAAACATCTGTAATTACTCATTTCATAAGTAAAACCAAATCAGCCCAATATCCCAAAGGTTGGCTGAAAAGCTAGCAAAAAGCTCATTGTCGTGAAAACTGAAAAAAAGTATAATACCGTTCTCAGTGCGCATGACAAGCGAAACTCCTGGGAATAGCTTCTGTCAGCCACGTTCGAGACCGAAAGTTTCGTAAGCCCTACACACACATATATATATATAAAGTTTGTATGAATGTAAAAAACAAAATGTCTGAAACAGAACTCAAAAAGCAGTAAAGTCGATAAGGTCTTTTAGTAATGATTATAACAAGTATTTAGAATATCCAGAACTGTTTATACATGTATGACGGAGATTAACAGGAAACTGATGTTTCACATTTTCTTTGTACAAGGGCCATGGTCAGGCCCAAAGATGATCAACTCAAATGAAAAAAATAAACATTTAGTCAGTAATCCTCCTCTAAAAGTAGTAAAGAGAAAAAATAAACTCAGTACTTCCAGAGAACCACAAATTTAAACTAAGATGTATTCTGAACACCCAAATTATATTTAGAATTACGTCTGTTGACATGTTGATTTCTTTACGACATCCTCGTTTATTGTTTAAACAAGACTTCCTTCGGATTAATGTCACCTGACAAGGAAAACAAGTTTCCCCGCTTGTTGTCAGTTCTCTCAAAAAGGCAAAAAAGGGGGGGCACTTCAATCCTATTTCATGGATGACTTAATTTGAAAAAATATCTGATGCATTTATTACAGGTTTTAATCACATCTGTGGAAAAAAGGTCGCTATCTGATAAGTTTCAGATACATATAATGTATTCTGCAACCTTTTCAAATATTTCATCTTAATTTTACTACCTTATCGTATACATGTTGTACCATGAAGCTTGAAATAGTGACCCATTTCAGCGGCTCATCCCTACGAGTCATTTAATAGTAAGTGCCCCCCTCCACCAATCAATGAAAGATATGACAGCTGAGTGTAACTTTTTTATTTACAATTTCATGGCGAGCATATCTACCGGGGAGTAGTGATGTCATATTCACTTGCATATAAAGGGCTTGTAAAGTGCAATCTACTTTGAACCAGGTGATTTATGAATTTGAACTAGCGGGGGAAAACAACTCCCGCCAAAAAAGATTTTTAAATCATATGGGTTTCATGGCTGAACATTGTTATATCGGATTAACTGAAAGCAGTTTTTCAAAACAACATGAATATACAGTATAAGGGTCCTTCATTTCTTTATTTTGAGGCCGTTTTCCCTATTCTTTATGTTTGTTGCCTATTATTCTCTTTTCTTTATTTTTTGGTCTTTATTATTCTTTTATTTATTTTTGTCCCTTCATTCTGTCTTTTTGCTCATTATTCTCTATTTGCTGTAAACCCTATCCAGACCGTCTTGTATATGACGTCAGATATAATTAAACTATTATACTAGTATATAACATTCTTGGTGTAAACTTGTGGTAATTATACACATGACCATCCGAGAAAGTAATTATGGCAGTATTAGTGTTGAGAGCGTGGTTCTACTAATAAGAAATAGTATAACTTGTTCATACATACATACGTTTAAAATAAAACACTTAACCTAGCCGTAGGATTAGCACTGGACGACTTAATCTCCCAAAGCTTAACATTTTTTTAACAGTCCATTTTACAAGTTATAGAGATAAAGGCCCGTAATATATAGGCCGGGCTGCGACAGTCAAATGACAATCGGAATAAGAATTTTAAACCAATTATATATATGGTCACTGAGTCACGCTTATTGAACTTCATTTTCTCATTTAAAATCCAAATTCAAAGAGATGACATCTTTAATGTCTTATCAAAAACAAATATCGCCTTAAAAGATTCTCGTCTGAAGTTGTCAATCGAAAGTCATCAGGTAAAATTCGTTTATGTAAATTTTAATTTATTCGAGACATGCCAACTTAGCTACGGGCTAGAATATTTATAATAAAATGTCTGTATCTAAGATTTACACTTTTATTTACTTTTAATGAAAATATATATAAAGTAAAATTAGTGCATATATGATAAACAAAATCAAACATTTTCACATGTATATATGTATATATGTATATTGCCTCGCACATTACTTTAAAAATAAAATAAAATACATTTAGGTAAATCTTATTTGAATTAGCGACATTATTGGATTTCATGACAATGCTGTTTTCTGTCAGAAAGGTTTATCTTTGAACTCGCGTGCATGTTTTATTATATTCTATTTAATATGCAAATGATAGGCGGACTAAAAGAGCGATGTTATTTCAATAGCATGACTTCGAAAACTCCTACCCCAGTTTGTCTCCACCGCCTACGCCGGTTTTCTCCAAAGCCTACCCCTGATTTTCCACCGCCTCATTATATAAGTTATCAATACACTAAACAAATCTTTTTAAAAGTACACAATTTTTATAACGATATGCGTGTAAAATATATTGTAAAATCAGGTTGGTGGCAATTGTATATAATTTCATAATAATACAAATCTCAATTTCCAAAGGCAAAAATGTTTTATCATCTATCCTTCCTATCAAAAATTAAAGATATTACAGGTCAAACATGTAAATCAGTTCCCAGTGACAGTTCAAATAATTGTATACCGTGTTATTTAGATCACTGCGACAATCTTAGTTGTTTTTATTTATTTTACAATGGACCCTATAATGTCTTCGTTTAAAATGTCTACAAAGTAAAAAATGTAAGATAATACTGTTTAATTAGTCTTTGGTCAAGTAATAAACTCCTGTGAAATGTTAGATATAAATATTTGTATATCCATTGTTGGTTGCCCAGCTGCACGGATTCTTTGGCGGTTGTGGTGTTTCATCCGGTTGATCTTAGAAATTCATACACGTTGTCGTAATGGTACAGTTATAAAAATGTTAATAAATCACTTCTGTAATACAGTATTTTGTTGACACCCGACACCGCTTATATTTTATGACCTCAAGTTAAAAACCAATTTTAAAACGTATATACATTTTACTGCACATACAAGTCATGCAAATTGCACGCATACCGAAAACGAAAATTTTAAAAGGTAAAATTACAGGATACAATTGTTTTTAGCATTGATATACAATGTGATTTAAAAATGAATGCTTTTTGACATCAACAATTATCGAGATTCACATTTAAGTAAGTAAATATTCTGTGGACATGAACACTCTCCTTATATCCACATAGAGTATTACAAGTACTGGTTATACTTTGCCGAACCGTGAGGCGAGATCTATTCTGAGAATGTGGAATATTTGCCTGTTTCATTGACATCATCATAGTCCACACATAATAGACATATATACATAAAGGCTAAAATAAAGCAAAGTCCAGTTCCAATCCACGACGTCATGAATGTCCAGTCATATTTTATCTCTGTGTTTGCAGGATAAAGATAGTTTTTATTCTCATCTAAATCTCGTAATGCCATGAAACACACGTTACTTGCTACACCTGCCATTGCTGAAATAATAAATGGGCAAATTTAATACACACCTTAAGGGTAAATATTGTACACATACACAATATATATGTACAGTATAGCAAAATAGCTTTCGAAACAAACAAACTAGAGGCTCACCTGATTCTTTTTTGGTTTTGGAAATCATGTAAAAATAGATTAAAGTCATAACAGATACCCTAATAATGAGTGAGGCCAAATTTGGTTTAATATTGGTCCTGTAATTTAATAAAAAATCCTGGTGGCCATCTTGAACAGTAAATCAGCAACAAAGTAGCAACACTTAATCAGCACCTCATAAGAAACATTTATGCCATGTTTTGGTTTCATTCCATTCAGTGCACCTCTAGAAGAAGCATTTGTATGTATTTCCCATAGGGTCTTATGTTAAAGGAAGTCCCCCCCATTGGCGGCCATCATGGATGAAGGATCAGCTTCAAAGTAACAAAACTTAGTCAGCACCTCATAAGGAACATTCATGCCATGTTTGGTTTCAATCCATTCCGTATGTGGTTCTCTAAAAGAAGACATTTGTATGTATTGTCCATAGGGTCCTTTGTTAAACATTGTCCCCATTTGGCAGCCATCATGGATGAAGGATCAGCTTCAAAGTAACAACACTTGGTCAGCACCTCAAAAGGAACATGCATGCCATGTTTGGTTTCATTCCATTCAATGGTTCTCTAAAAGAAAACATTTGTACGTATTTCTCGTAGGGTCCTATGTTTAACTAAGTCCTCCGCTGGCGGCCATCTTAGATTATGGATCGGCTTCATAGTAACAACACTTGGTCAACACCTCATAAGGAACATTCATGCCATGTTTGGTTTCATTGCATTTAGTGGTTCTCTAAAAGAAGACATTTGTATGTATTTCCCATAGGGTCCTATGTTAAACTAAGTCCCCGGCTGGCTGCCATCTTGGATGATGGATCAGCTTCAAAGTAACAACACTTGGTCAGCACCTCATAAGGAACATTCTTGCCATGTTTGGTTTCATTCCATTCAGTGGTTCTCTAAAAGAAGACGTTTGTATGTATTTCCCATAGGGTCCCATGTTAAACTAAGTCCCCCGCTGGCGGCCATCTTGGATTATGGATCGGCTTCAAAATAACAACACTCGGTCAGCACCTCATAAGGAACATTCATGCCATGTTTGGTTTCATTCCATTCATTGGTTCTCTAAAAGAAGACATTTGTATGTATTTCTCATAGGGTCCCATGTTAAACTGTCAGCACCTCATAAGAAACACTCATGCCATGTTTGGTTTTATTTTATTCAGTGGTTCTCTAAAAGAAGACATTTGTATGTATTTCCCATAGGGTCCTATGTTAAACTAAGTCCCCTGCTGGCTGCCATCTTGGATTATGGATCAGCTTCATAGTAACAACACTTGGTCAACACCTCATAAGAAACATTCATGCCATGTTTGGTTTCATTCCATTCAGTGGTTCTCTAAAAGAAGACATTTGTATGTATTTCCCATAGGGTCCTATGTTAAACTAAGTCCCCCGCTGGCGGCCATCTTGGATGATGGATCGGCTACAAAGTAACAACACTTGGTCAGCACCTCCTAATGAACATTCATGCTATGTTTTGTTTCATTCCATTCAGTGGTTCTCTAAAAGAAGTCATTTGTATGCATTTCCCATAGGGTCCTATGTTAAACTAAGTCCCTCACTGGCGGCCATTTTGGATGATGGAACAACTACAATGTAACAACACTTGGTCAGCACTTTGTAAGGAACATTCATGCTATGTTTTGTTTCATTCCATTCAGTGGTTCTCTAAAAGAAGTCATTTGTATGCATTTCCAATAGGGTCCTATGTTAAACTAAGTCCCCCGCTGGCGGCCATCTTGGATGATTGATCGGCTACAAAGTATCAACACTTGGTCAGCACCTCCTAATGAACATTCATGTTATGTTTTGTTTCATTCCATTCAGTGGTTCTCTAAAAGAAGTCATTTGTATGCATTTCCCATAGGGTCCTATGTTAAACTAAGTCCCTCGCTGGCGGCCATCTTGGATGATGGAACGGCTACAAAGTAACAACACTTGGTCAGCACCTTGTAAGGAACATTCATGCTATGTTTTGTTACATTCCATTCAGTGGTTCTCTAAAAGAAGTCATTTGTATGCATTTCCCATAGGGTCCTATGTTAAACTAAGTCCCCCGCTGGCGGCCATCTTGGATGATGGATCGGCTACAAAGTAACAACACTTGGTCAGCACCTCATAAGGAACATTCATGCCATGTTTGGTTTCATTCCATTCAGTGGTTCTCTAGAAGAAGTTCAAAATGTAAAAAGTTAACGCCGACGACGGACGACGGACGCCAAGTGATGAGAAAAGCTCACTTGGCCCTTCGGGCCAGGTGAGCTAAAAAGTGAGACTCGCAGAGATTTTCTACCGTTTTGTAGCGAGTAAACATATATTTTCAATTGTATTTCCCGACAATGTACTACACTGTTTGTATCCTGTAATGTGTACTGATACGACGTTAAGCAATATGATATCAACAATCAATCAATCAAATCTGCAACTTTAGTTATAACCCACTGTTGTCTTTGATTTTCATTCTTTGTATGTATACTATTAGATGAAAATACGAAAAGAAGATGTGGTCGATGAAGCGACAATCCAGCAATACAAAATCCGAAAGACATCTAGAGGCAAATATTCAGCACTTGTTGGATTGACATAGAAAGAATTTTATACTGTCACCGAATAAAACACTATACTGGAAAAAACAGTTACTACGGACACCTTGGGTTGCAAAAGTTAAACCACAGAGAGCGTGGAACTATAGTAAGAAGGGCGTTAAACCACAGGGAGCGTGGAACTATAGTAAGAAGGGCGTTAAAACAATTTCATTTGATAAACAATGCATGGAAAGTGCGAATCGAGAAAGGAGAGATCGGTTTTAAAATCTAAATATCTTCCAAAAATCTCATTTTGCTACTGAAATATTATTCAATCATTATGTCTCAAGTACTGTTAATGTAACATCTTCACCAATTAGAAACACCGCATAACATATCTATACATCTGTTTTTGACTGTAGACTATGCATATGATATTGTTTATTACCTGCTAACAAGAACATTATAGCACTGGCTAAATATATAGATGACCTCTTTGGGTTCTTTCTACATGGCCACAATCCACAAATCATTGTTAAGACTGCAAATATCTGTATTGCTCCACATGTTATTAATAATCCAACCCATGATCTCTCTAGATCTGAAATGAAACATGACCGTTTTTTTTATCAAGATTTATGATTGAATGTTAAATGTCTGACCTTAAACTTCGGAATTCATTTTTCGGATGATTCATCCTTTGCATGACGAAGATCGTTCAAATGAAGACAGTCAGTTTTTATGTTTTGCAAGTGACAATCTTCAAAAAATATTTAATTGGGTCTAAAGCATAATAAACATTAACATTAACACGGCGTGTAGAAGTCAACAATCAATATAAAGTGGTTTACTGTACTATTGATAAGAGTATAGCATTGTCTTTTGTCAGATCTGCAGAATACATGTACTAAAGGTTAGATTGATTGTTGTTTGTTTAATGTCCTGAAGAAAATATTTCACAAATATTACAAATTACTCGATTAATCGATTTTAAAATAAACTCTGGAAAAGCGGGTCGGTCGGGAAGAAAAATTATAAATTTGAACAGTCGCTGGAGTGAATCAACATCGGAATTCCCAAAGAGTTGTTGATAGAGCTCTTAGCACGAATACAGCGTTTCGCTCTGTCCACACAAGGCATCGAATTTACATACATTTTTGGTAGAAGTGACTGCATATTTAAATGCTCATCACACCTACAACAAATGCCCATAAGATGAAGATTTTTTTTAAACAGCCGAATGGGGTCATATTTCTATTACTGTTCAACCCTTGGTGTTTACTATTGTTTTTTTCCAAATATTAGAACTCCTAGGTTGATCAACACTACAAAACCTGCCGAGCAAACTTGAAAGATTGTCCAATTTTAAGTTTGTTAAACATACATGTATCACCATTGAATTTCTAACCATGTACCTATTAGACTATTAAAACGGACAAGCATCAACGTATGAAAAGTGCGAACCAAGAAATGGTTGGTTTGTATTTCTAAAACACATTTACAGTTTTATCAGAACGATCTCATCAAAGCATTTTTTCTCGATTCGCAATTTCCATGCATTGAGCATTCTAGTCGGTCGCTTTAGAAAGACTGACGATATATATAAATCATTACGAGGCTTGCTTTCAGTTTTTAAATACTACCATCTAAATATGAACATCACTTGATTGCAAGACCATATATATACATACTGGAGATGTAAATATCCAAAAATTTTAAGTTTGATTTACGTAATAGGATGGTTGTCTTACAGAATGTAACTTGTGACATACTTATCATAAGTGCATACATGTATCAACTGACTTACTATGTGGCAGTCACTGAGGTAGACCCCATTTTTGACTATTTTCTCGCGTTTTATTTACTGAAATGCGTGTTTTCTTTGGATCCCCTCAACCCCGTTCAAGTCATTGTCAAGAGTTCACTAAACTAAATGGGTAACATATATTTCTCATTTAGACACCATAAAATTATTTATAATCCAATCATATGTAATTTAATTCTAAGGAACAAACGGATTCGAAAGAAATAAATGTATGACTATTTCAGATACTTACGAAGGTATCTAATACCATCGGAATCCTCTGGAGCTTTCCTTGGAATCAAATCTTCGTATGTATACACACAGTTCTCATATCTCACTCTTTCTTCGGCTGAGGAAGATAAAATTATAAATGAAGCGTGTAACACATTGGATAAACAATAAGCTTCTAAATTTACGGACAGTTAACAACATCTTTTTGTTTGTGTATTGTTCAATCTTTGCTTTTTTAAGTATTGCTTTATGGACTGGTGTTTTTTTCCCCTCTTTGACCGCGGTGTTTTTTCCTTGTGCTTTTGTTTGCTTTTGCTAATTTGTATCTACTGTGTCTTCCTTCCAATGCTTCCTTCTTTGCGACTCTATACTCATATTATCACATTTCTTAGCTTTAAGGTGGTTTTGCACATTTTCATTAACCGTGATACTTTGTTTTGCGTTTGATGTTCATTGTCGTGTTTGCATTAATTCAAAAGCTTTAAACTAATTTCCAGTTCATTGTTACATAAAGTTTCATTGTCAAATACATCTCTTGTACCTTATAAATAAAGTTTCATTGTCAAATAAATCTCTTGTACCTTATAAATAAAGTATTTATACATTCTTGACTTTCAAACTCTTGGGTTTAGCAATCGGACGCTAACATTTATAAAGCGTTATTTTCATTTTGTATTTCCTAAAATACCTAGTCACCCCTTTTCATATTCCAACATACAAATGTGTTTATTCCTTTTAGCGTATACATAAAAGTTTATAGATGTTCAATGCCAGTACAGGAACAAACGTATATTTACAAAAATGCATGTATAAAAGGTAGGAAATAGAACAGTTTGTCATTAATGACGTTACAAATAACATGTTTAAGAAAGTGCACTTGTCTGTTCTGACTGCAAATTAATGCATGTTGTACATGTCAAACCGTATATTTATTAAAAAAACGTTTTTTTCTGTCAACAGTTTTTACCTGTAAAATCCAACTACTGGTATTAATTATTCTCCTCCACAATAACCCATAATTACATTGGTTTGTCAATAACACGTATAAATGTTATTTATATAACAAAAGAAATCTATATCATTAACTTCTTTAGTAAGACACTTCCAAAACATAACACTCAAACTGAGTCGATGCAATGTAAAAAGGGTCTGAGTGTGGGGGCATTTATGCAATCTCTGTCTGAACTATTATTTATACATGATCTTTTAACACTGCTTATGAGATTGTTATTTTTTCTCTCCATATTCGTTAATACCAATGTATATGTTTATTTAAGTTGAACAAACTTACAAAATGGGCGTGCCTTCATGAATTCTAATACTAATAGTGTACTGTAAGAATTACTTATCTAAATCACCAAACAAATATCCCCATAGAAGAAAGAAAAATGAAATATATTTAAAATACAGACGATCAAAAACATTATTTTAAAATAAAAATTTAACATTTATTGGAAATAACAAGGGTCTTAGCATTCGTGATTTAATCTTTTATTTGAAATTAAATTTTCTTATTCGTTGTAAATGTGAAAATGGAACATTTGTCCTCAACCCATCACTCATATCGCACGTACATAGAGTGGAGAAGTTGTTAGAAATGGATAAGGACACTGTGACTTTTTACATTTACATTATAACTTAAATATATTTCTGTAACTTTTAATTTTCAGCCGCTTATCACATACAAATACACAGTAAAGTTAAATTATTTTAATGGTATCGACTTTTTTTTCAATCAGTAAAAAGTAAAATCACAAAAAATACTGAACTCCGAGGAAAATTCAAAAAGAATAGTCCCCAATAATTGATCCCTTCAATATTTCTATACATACCCGACGGTGTTTCGTAAAGATAACACTTCCTCCACATTCCATATCGATAGGAAAATGTATTTTTGATCGTTGTATTGCTATTATTTCCAGCATCAACTTCATACCAATAATCGAAATATATGCTGATTAAAGTCAAAGCTAAAGCTGAAATCATGAAAAAAACAGACACTGCAATGGCACACATGTGTTTACCCATTTTGAAAACGATACAATAATTCCTAATGACAAATGTTGAAGAAAATTGAAAATTTCGAAAAATATGACCACAAGTCTCAGCTCGTACTGGGAGCGGCCATTTCTAAATAATGAGTAAAAGAAAACCTATACTGTCAACCGGTTTACCTATTAATACCTGTGTTAAAAGCAATCAAGGGACTTTCTCAAACGATAAAAGAGACAGTAGGATTTGATTTATGATTACAACAATTATCTACCTGTACTACAGTGCGATTGGAATTTCTTTTATTATTTATTGAAAATAAATTTCCTTCATATTTACGCACTATTACATATAAAATGTTTAACTTTGTATCAAAACAGGTGTTCATCATATTCACAGTCATACGTTATACTGGGATTTAAACAATTAAACAGGTAAAAATGCCAAAACTTCCTCAATAAATTTTAAAAATTATCTATTTTTGTTGAAGGAAGAATTAGGTCTGTGTGTATCTCCAGTTGATAATGTGTTAATTGTTAAAGGACAAATGGGACAATTTAAAGATAACAAACAGCGATACAGTGTATTTTACATTCTGAAAAAATGACGATTAAAATAATAAATGGTTTGAATTTGTATTATTCTGATTCTATTGAAAACAACAAGAACAACATGCATTTTATGTGTCTGTGTTTATATGTTTTTTTTTTAATAAATGGGGGGGGGGGGGGGGGGGGGGGGGGTGGGGGGGGGGGTGTGGGGGGGGGGGGGGGCTAGGAAGGAAAGCGAAAAGTCAGATCAAAAGAAGTACATGTGGTTTTTTCGACTTCGTTTATTTAATTTTGACTGGACATTTACTCACTGATAATGAATTATTTCAAAGTATGTTCGCAAGGGTTTGACATGTGATAGGATTGAAATCCATGATATTAAGATATTTTATATAACAAAATGTAGTTTTACTCTTGTTATCGCGTGTTGATAGCCTGTACTCTCAGGCCTTGTTCTGTAATTGTAATTCTTATTTATTTCGTTTCAAAAATATAAAAAGGATACGAAATAAGAGTAAATTATTTTCAACTGAACAGTTCGAAATCAGCAGGTATTGACAAAAATGTAAATTCTAAGGAGAATTATGATATTTTTTACTTCTATTGCTCATGTAATATGCAATGAAATATATCTTCACCTTTTTGTTCAAAATTTTCAGTAGAGTATAAACATGTTGCCTCAAACATTAATCCACAAAGATCCATCAATGGAAAGGTCATGAAGACCTTTCACAAATTCATGGTGTATGCCAGACCGATTTGTTTCTGTATTTCAGTGTGGATTGGTACACTATTTCTGCTTTTAACAGAACTATAACATTATGAATTAAAAATTTGCAAAGGTTATTCTATATCTTTATTTCACAGCTTGTCATTACAGTTTGAATGACATTCCAACTCAACTCGTATTTATAGTCATATATTTATAGTAAAAATGTAATACACAGATTTTCAAGCGGAAATATTTACGCCTTTTATTCATATCAATGAACTGTGTTGAAAAAATACAATAGACGATAGGGTATATGTTAAATTTTTGTCTTTTGTTCGCAAGGGATAATCGGATTTCTTTAAACCGAGGGAAGATCTCAAAATATACAAGTTAGTGTCAATGATTAAATGATTAAATATTTAAAAATCAATGGTGTCTCAGATAAGTTCCACAACCAATGGTGGCGTGTCGGATTCTAAATAGCAAGTATTGACTTTCTCATCAGGTGCCGTTGGAATTAACACGTCAATGTGAATTTGAGATGAAGAATAGCAATAAAAGCGCGGAAAATTTGCTGTATCATTTTCATTTGAACGTTATAATTTTGTGTTCTGAATTGATACACCATATCTACAAGCAGTATAACTTCATTGGTCACGTATTACTAGCGAGCAAAAACATTATTGATTTTGTTGTTGGTATTTTTTACTATGGCTAAATCTTGTCAAGTTTTAGTTAAATTGTTTAATGGTTTGGCGGAGAATACCCTTGAAAAGGTTTACGAACGACGGACGCCCAGTGATAACAAAAGATCATACTAAACTTCGGCTAGACGAATAATAAAAACAAAATCAGAGTAGCCAATTCAAACTAAGGATAAGTGTGATATGATTGCCAAGAAGATAAATATCCAAACGACGTGAATTTAAGCAACTATAGGTGCACATCCATCAACAATGAGAAAAAAATCAATATACGTATACTAGTACTAGTATTCAGCTATAAAAGACCCCGACATGACAAAAATATGAAACAATGCAAAAAACGAAAATACCAACTGCAGGATTATAAACAATAAACGAAAAACAAATATAGCATCCAGCAGCAACCAACCAAAACCACTAAATTACGGACACCTGACATGGGACAATCTCATATATTGGTGATAACAGCATTTGGAAATAGCTAGATTTGCTTACACCTAAATGCGCATAATTTATAATATTTCCATTACGGTTTACGACGATCTTTTATCATAAGACATGAATTATCTCTCTTTGAATACTTCAATTTAATAGTACTATTTCAATTTTATCACACTGCAAAGAACCGTCAAAATTAAGAATCAATCGCAAGTAGAATTCAAAGTTTACTTCACTCTAGCAGTTTTAGAAAGTCAATGGTAAAATTCACTGCAATAAACAAATTCCGTGTATTGATCGAATCCAACCCGGAACTTTACTTTGTTTCCAGAGAAGCTCATATAATTTTGCAAATTTAACTCTTTCTGTCAATGGTGCTGTAATGCGAATATCGGAAATCCTAATGTTGTGAAAATTAAAAAACAAAAACAAAAAATAACAAAACAGATTGAATTAAACGCTGAACAAGAATAACCAAAGCAACAAAAATCAAAAGGAACATATGTGAATCTGGAGGATAAACTAACTTCAGCTAACTTTAATTATATCAAAAATATATGACAGTTCAAAAGGACTTCCTTGCTAATGATGTCTTGGGGAAGTACGTACAGTCCACCAGTAGTGGCAACGACCATTTAGATTTACCAGTTAACTCGATACACATACGCAAATTTGAAAAAAATCTCGTCGGCGGTGCTCGAAACTAAATCCGAAAGTATCAATATAAACATTTGATACTAATTTCAGTGTGAATATCACATGATTCTAGAAAAAAAACTTAATCAGGTACGCGCTCGATCAAACGTTTGAAAAACCAAATGCATAAAACACTTGCGAGAATAAAAAAACTATCGAAATGTTATAAACCCGACTTTAGCGTAACCAGTTGTATCCTTATCTTTAACAGAATTCCACTGAATGTCTGTGCCAAGTATAGTTAGATGAAAATCATTCCTGTACCAAAGCACTAGTTATTAGGTTAATACTAATATCGGAGTGGAGGGTCACCATAAAAAAAATGTGTCACCCGGCTGTCAAACATACAAAATGTACTAAAACCAAAATTGTATGGCCATATGAGAAGACACGGACCCCTCGAACCGCTGTACCCAGTTGTAGTTATAAACACATGACCTCAGTACAGTGATCACGTGGCACTTGTAAGAGCTACCATGTGAAGCATCAAAACCAATACGGTAAAAACAGCAAAATACTTCTTAAATTATCTTTATTTGATGTAATTTTAGAATAATTTATAACCTTAACATTTTTCAATAAAAATAAACCCTAATTGACACACCCACACCCACACACATATATATAAAAGAACATCCTGCTAGTCGACAAGACAATTTTATAATGTAAAGGGGTTTACGTTTTCAATTAAAAAAATACGCTTTTAGTTTGTCACCTGAAAGGAGTTAAGGAACAATTTTGCCTTCATTTATTTCACACCAGGAACTTTTCAAAAAGTCTTTCAATCTTTACAAACAATTACATTTTTTATCATAGCTTAACAGGTGTATTTTGAGCGTATTATAGAATATGTACACAAAGCATAAATGCATAAAAATGGTTGATAACTTCAATTTTGATAGATTTTGGCATATGTTGAGTAATTTAAAAAAAAAAGGACAATATAAAATTCAATCTTAACTGTTGTTAACAGCTGTTTACTTTTATCTGCTAACATATATGTCATTTGGTCTCTGGTGGAAAGTTGTCTCATTGGCAATCATACCACATCTCCTTATTTTTATATTATAATAAGTAAAACCATGGCATTGCTTTAAAAAAAATCATGTTCTTAAGAATAACCTTCGATGCAATATTTTACAAAAACATGTATAATATACGCTTTTGTGTCTGCAACAGACATGAATAGGGTTGTGATGAATAACGTTTTGAAAAATGAATACATGTGAAATTAATGTAAATACATGTACTAACCAAAAAACCAATATAAAAATAAGAAGATGTGGTATAATTGCCAAAGATAAAACTCTCCACCAGAGACCAAAATGACATAGAAGTTAACAACTATAGGTCACCGTACGGCATATAATTTAGTACGAAAGACACGCGTCTTGTCTTCATACGACCAAACAGTGGAACAAAGTTGAAGAACATTGAAAACCAAAAGTAAAAAAAAATGTTGTGTTAATCTTAATAAGGCCACATTTGCTGAGGGGTAGTTAAACCTTAGTGATTCGAATGATTTTTACATTTTGTGAGCAGTCACTTTACAGAAAATTATCGTATCAAAAAACTACTATGATGGTGTTACCGTCGTGAAACGAAACGTTCACCAACAGTGGCATTAAACCAATGGTTTAAAAAAATCACCAAAGATACCAGGCTTAAAATCTGTACGTAAAATATATCAAGTATATTATTGTGTCTCTTAAATATTCAAATTCAATGAGGTTTTAACAATATTTTGATTTTCATTCAAATAAAAGGGGACGTTGACCCTACTAATTTAAAGATTATCAATATTATGCCAGTACACCAGTACTAACTATCGATATAATGATACCATTAGAGGATTTCTTTCACTAACAGTGACATTAAAGGCGTTTTAATAATGTAGAATTTCCGGAAACTTAAGAGTGGATCTTATCATAGAAGTAATAAAGATCTGATGCATCATTTTCGAAAATTTGTTTCTCCCCAGAGATACTCGAAACAAATATTAAAGTTAGTAGAACAGCAATCAACCTAGATCAACCTAAAACCAAACGAAAAAAACAAGAAAAAGATACCGGATTAT